GATACAGTGGGGAACGTGAATGAAAAGACGCCCTGTTCGGCTTGACCACAGGCGCACATGATGACGGTCTATGCATAAACACTGATGGCGGGGTTCGTCATGTCCATAGGCATAAAGACACTCGTATCGGCACAGCAACCACCGACGAGATGAACCTGGGCAGATGCAAACGGGGGACCAGAGCAATACACAAGGGACTTCCTCAACCGGCACACTTAATGTAAACAAGGGCAATGACCGTTGCCATGCGAACACCGTCCTCCCCTCCCCCCCCGACGAGTTGAGGGTGAGAAACACTGGTCAGCAGGACGACGACTGATTTCTACTGCCCCTCCCCGCAGGTCATCCAGCGTCAATAGAGGAAAAGGCGACGAGATGCCAGTTTAACACCTATAAATAGAGAAAGTGAATTGGCGAACATACGTCTGTTTTCGATACATTTTCGTCAGGCCTTTACAGTTATATGGTAATTAAGTAAAACAAAATAATGCGTGTCGGTAGAAAAATAGTACGGTTGTCAGAGGAGGGGGAAGGGGGAGGATTGGGGTAAAAATCTTATCAGTGTTAGGGGGGACTCGTAGTCGGCCGAGGTGATAATAGTTCCATTCTAGCGCACCTGGTAGACTCAGACCATCGCGTGGATGCCAAAGAGGGCTCCCGAGTGATCTACAAGATATCCACAAGCTATTGAAAATGTATTAGACAGCGTCTGTTAGATACGGCAGAAGCCGGTCCTTTGCGCCCAAAGAACTTCGTCGTGGGGCCGCAGTTAACATGGGCAAAAACCGCTAATCCAACAGCCACCAGCTTATCACGTCGGTCGAATACCAGCTCCCCCTAACGCTGATCAGGTTTTGACCCCAACTTCTTCCGCCTGCCCTGACAACCGTAATTTTTTTTTCTACCAACCTGCATAGTTTATTTACTTAATTATCGCATATATTTAAAGGCCTGACGCGAATTTATCGAAAGCAAACGTATTTTCGCCTATTTATCTTCCGAAGTTCTTCAATGGGAATTTTCGCAAATTTAAGACAACCTATAAATACTTTGAGGCGCGTAGAAAAACAAACCTCTGACGACACAAGCCTGTACGCTTTTGTTAGGTCACGATACTATGCCTATTCTTACCATGTTTGCCTCCTCTTCCTCCTATAATAAGTACGTAAGAAAACGTTAGGTCCGTTAGGCATACTATTTTACTGAAAAGTAGCAGTGTGCACATACACAAAAATTAAGGTCATAGGCCCTAACGATCTTCAGTTGCGGTTTCAAAAAGCGGTTGATTGTGCTGCCTATTGGGAATGCGGTGGAGGCTGCACATCAATGAAGATTGAACGAATTTTGTAGCCAAATGAGAGCATTGATAAGAAGAAGAAGAAGACTCGACCTTGTATTGGCAACTGAGAGCATGCTCTGAGCGACGGGAACAGCGACCCGAAGATAGCCCCATAAATATTCGCACCAGTAGCTTAAACGTTAATAGGTGTGCGTGTGTCTGCCTTGCAGGTGACTGGTCGGTTAAGAAGGCTGAGGTTAACCAATAACTAGAAAACTAATGATACTAACCCCATATTAGTAACGAGGGGGTTAAGCCTGCATACAATCACCAGTGGCCGGTGGGCGGTTGTCAGATGAATTCCTTAGGCTTATTCATCCAGATATCTACTGATATGGATATAAACGCATTCAATAACTCAGATAGCCCTTTCCCGTTTAGCTGCATTTAAACTCCACGTACACATTTATCGACTTAAGCGTCGTTGGGCCGCAAACCTAAATTAGCAAAATGTTACGGACACGCCAAATATAATGCGATTTTCGAAGAGTAATTGGCGAGCATACGTATACTTTCAATAAATTCTCATCAGGCCATTACATGTATATGGGAGGGGGGGGGTAAAGCGGAAAAGGTAAATTGTAGGTAAAGTTCGTCCAGTGTTACAAGCAAATTAATCCAGGGGATAGGGTAGGGGGTGGGGTAGTAACAAGCGGCTAATTAAGCTGTAAAAAGGAAGGGGGGAAGGGGAGAGAGGAGGCTCGGGGAAAAATAACGGAATCTAGGTGGCCGTTGGCCATGCTAAGCTTGGGGCTTGCAGCAGGTTCTTCTGCGCGCACAAAATTAGTTTCCTCAACCAGATACCAGTTGATTTTGCTGTTGCCAGCAGACGCTGACCCAGTGACTTAGGGTTGCTTGGTGGGACCTTGTAGATCACCCTGAAGGCTTCGTTGGGGTCCACCTGATGTCCGGAATCCACCATGTGCTCTAGGATAGAGCTGTTGATGGTAACGTAGGTATTGCATTCACCCTTCCTTAGCCATTGCAGGAGGTGCTCCTTTATTCTTTTGGATAGGTGCCGACTCGTGCGACCAAGATAACCTGCTCCACAGGAGCAAGCAAAGGGGTAGATGCACATGGAGGTTTGCGATTTTGTCTGACAGCTGTATTACTCAGACAATCCCTAGACAATCCCTAAACTCAGAAAATTCCTAAACGAATTTCTCTCAAGTCTGACGACGAACTGGGGATCCAGTGTTGAAAATTTCCTGAATAAAATTAGTCATTTTTTCAAAGGATGCCTTTACTTGAAATCCCTAAACACATTTCGGCCGACTCAGAGGGAATTGAACAGAAAAAAATATGCGGAAGCGATTGAAACTGCAGAATGTACGTATGCCGTTTAACAGATATCAAATAGATCAACTAGCTTCACGCTTTCCAAATTACATAGGCATTGTCTAGAAGAAGACGACTCAATCGCTGGGACAATAATTGTATTCGCCTGAGATTTGGACATCCATCGTGGATTCGTCGTCAGATACATACTCAGAGAGCCATAGCAGATACACATAGTGGGTGTGCACAGGAGTTTGTCGTAAAATTTAATCGTTTAGAAAAAATCGATAACTGACAGGAGTGAGCGTTGATTCGCCATGTCAGCAATGACCATCTAGCCTTGCCGTGTTGACGTTGAATGATGTGGTGGCCTGTCTGTTCCCCGAGCGGCCACATGCTTTGACCAAGCTCAATAGCGGGTTTTTTGGTCTGATGACCCGGCACCTGATGGTTGCTTCTCGCCTGTGCGCAAATCCAACACCATGTGGGGGTGAGTAGGCGGTTGACCGTTTCCGATACATGCCTCACGTATGGGCCAGATTAACAACATTTTCAGACACTTTGATGTGGTTTCTTCTTTGTTTTGCATATACATTGGTTAAATAAATTGCGCGGGTAACCATGCCCTCTCAGTACCCGTCGAATACGTTGTAATTCAACAACTTTGTCTTCCACTTCGCTGCAATGCGTCTCAACGCGCCGCTAAAGCGCTCTTACGCAGCTGCGTTTGTGGCCGATTAGGTGGTTGCTATTGTAGTCCAGGACTGGCATATTGTAGGCTGCTTTCCTTAACACCTAATTTTTAGCAAACTGCCGTCCTTGCGGCAAACGAGGACATCGATGAAGGCCAGCTGGTTGTTCTCCTCTTCCTACTTCGAAAATTGAATGTCCGGGAAGACGGCGTTAAGATGTTCCTAGAATATCAACACCTGATCCCGCTCAATAACGACAAAGGTGTCGCCCACATACCTAGCCCAGAATTTCGGTCTGTGTTGTTGGAAAACCCGCGACTCCAACCGTTGCAGGACCGCCTCTGCAATGACTCCGGAAATGAGCGTACCCATTAGCGTGCCCTCCGCCTGCGCGTTGATAGTTTCGTTGAAGGTAACGTACGTATTGAGGCAGAACTTTAGGATCTGGGGGATGCGGGCGTGCCCGAGGCAATTCTCCCTTTCATCGTATTTCTCTCGTAAGAGTAGTAGGATAGTCTAGACGGCCAGGTCCTGTGGAATAGGAAAGAAAAGGGACGTGACGTCAAATGAAACCTTGACGGCCGGCACGATACTGAGATCACTGTCGGCTCTGAGTTCTTTAAATGCCTTACATTTGACCTTGGAGAGAGCGTCACGTAGTCGATGTGCCATGAAGAGGGAAGACACTTGGGGACGTATAAGATTTTTCGTTCCGTCGATCGCTTTTCTTTGGTCGAGAATTGATTCTA